GTTAGAGTAAAAAGACCCCAAAGAAAAGTAGCCAGTCTCTTGGCTAAAAGTCAAAATGTTCTTGGGCCTTTTAGTAACATACTCTGTTCCAAAGGCCAAAAATGTCAAAAAAGTATTTGGGAGCTTGTATCTAATCCTTAAAAGATTTTAGGGTTACCTCTTCAGAGAGGGGGATGTTGGAGGGGAGGATGTTGGAGGGGAGGGAGTGACATGGATTTGATCAAAACACTTTATATGCCTGTACGAAATTCTCAATAAAGTTTTTGTAAAAATTAAAAAGAAAAGCACAGCGAAGAGAAAACTGTGCAGGACAGATAAAGAAGGAGTTAGTGATCTAGACATGAGTATGAAACACGCAGCAGAACTCAGACTCGAGGGTAACAGAGACCTTGTTGATGGCTGAACAAACTTCTATACCTCCCTGCTTTCTAGCAAGTTAATGCTTAATTAACACCCATTTTATTCTGTTTTTCGTAATGTTGGGTGATATTTTTTTTGCCACAGTATGAATACTTTTTTTCACTTGAGGAAACAGCTCCTATCTTCAGCTGCGCTGTTGCTGAGTAATATCAACCCACAGCATTCAGCAGAGGCAAACAGGCTTCTGTGTGTGTTTGTTTTCTTGTGCTCCTATGTATCTGTGTGCATGTGCACATACATATTCTTGTGCATGTCTGTGCGTTTGTACGTGGATGGCAGAAAGCCTCCATCTTTTGCTTAGGAAAGTTCTAATCTTAGGAAAGATATGTGGGGAGGATGGAAATGGCCTCGTCCTCACCATGTTTCTGTGAATTATTACTCTTCTGACTCAAGGGCTCTTTGTGAATAGATATGCTGTGGACCAGTATTCTACTTGGAGCTATGCATCACCTTTTATAGGGTTTGAATAGGAAGTGGAAAGGATCATTTTCATTTCATACTCTATATTAGAGCTTGATGCTTTTAGAAACAAGCCATTTAACATTGTTTCATCACATCTGCAAAGAATTAAAGCACTCCCACCAACAGTAACTTGTCAACCAAGTAATACTATCA